TACGTCGCGAATGGGCTCTACAGCGGAGCGAAATGGGTCGCAAGTCACCCAGTCACGATGCTGGTCATACTGCCGGCTTTACTTGCGTATGCGGGCACCAAATGGGCAGGATGCTATCAGGAATTGTTAGCTGAAGTTGAGGTGAGCAGACGCCGTCATCGCACATGGTTTAGCTTTTCCCGCGCCCCCTCATCCCATGGTTGGGTATGCTTTCTTTACATCTGCCGCAGCAGTCTTTCCTTGGCCATAAGGAAATCAGCTTCGTTCGTTCGTGGTTCCTCTTTTCCCCCCTCCTCCCCCTCCCTCATTCCAATCTCCCATCTTCTCGTCCTCTTTCCCGCGCCCCCCCCCACCTTATTCCCACCCGCTTCCAACATCGCGCAGGGCGCCCTCCCGTCGCCCTGGCAGGCGAAGGTCTATCCTCATCACATGATCCGCTTCCGTGCCTCCTCACTGCCTGCTTACTTGGCTTGGGTTTTGGGATAGAAAGTGACCACATTGCATCACAGAACAGAAGCGGAACCTGAACTGCACTGAAGCGGAATGAGATTTTCTTTTGTTGAATGCTAAGTGGAAATCTGCGGTAATCAAATAAATGGCTCTGGACTGGCCTATGACTTCTCCCATCCCACACCACCCTGCGAGAACCACACCAACCCACACCACACCAACCCAACCCAACCCACACCAACCCAACCCACACCAACCCACACCACACCAACCCACACCACACCAACCCAACCCACACCAACCCAACCCACACCAACCCAACCCACACCACACCACACCAACCCACACCACACCACACCACACCAACCCACACCACACCACACCACACCAACCCAACCCACACCAACCCAACCCACACCAACCCAACCCACACCAACCCACACCACACCACACCAACCCACACCACACCACACCAACCCAACCCACACCAACCCAACCCACACCAACCCACACCACACCAACCCACACCACACCACACCAACCCACACCACACCACACCAACCCACACCACACCAACCCAACCCACACCAACCCAACCCACACCAACCCAACCCACACCAACCCAACCCACACCACACCAACC